CTCAGGCTCCCCATACGCGCCTCGGGTTGGGAACAGGGCTCCAAGGCGGGGGTGAGCCGGGCAGCACGGGTCGGGTGTCGGAGGCCGTCCCTCGCCGATGCTGCGGTGCCTGGGGACCCAGCGCTGTTCCTTCTCCTGGCAGCTTCCTCCACCGCCAGCTCCCCGCTGTCCAGGACTGGGGATTGAACCCAGGGCCTCCCCATTGAGCTAATTCCCCAGCCCTTTAGGAATTTTAATTTTAATTAATTTAGTTTTTAATGGAAGGTCTCCCTAAGTTGTTAAATTGCCCGGTCGGGGTAAATTTACATTCCTCTTGCCTCCGCCTCCCCCAGTGCTGGGATTACGGTGCCAGGCCTCCGATGCCTTCCATTTCCTTCCTTTTCATCTCTTTGTTCCCTTTGAAAAGCATTTCTCTGTTTATGCAGGCAATGCATGCATGTTTTACAAAACCCACAGCAACCAAGCTGGGCGTGGTGGCCCACACCTGCAATCCTAGCACTCAGGAGGCTGAGGCAGGAGGATCGCTGTGAGTACGAGACTGGGCTACACAGTGAGTCCCAGGTCAGCCTTAACTACATAGTGAGACCCTGTCTCAAAAAGCAACAACAACAACAACAACAAAAAACAACCCCCAAACAAAAAAACCCAAAGCCCACAGCAACCAAAATTGCTGCACTGAAGCCAGGCATGGTGGCATGGGGGGCTGAGGCAGAAGGATCACATGGCAGTTTAACAATTGGCCAACTTAGCAAGGCCTTGTCTCAAAATTTAAAAAGGGTTGGATGTGGCTCAGTACGAACGCCCTGGATTCAATCCCCAGCACCCGCAAATACTGTTGCAAGGGGAAGAGGGATCTGTCCGCTCCAGCCCCTTCTCTCCCTGCCAGTTGCAAGAGCAGAACCGCTTCCGGTGACCCCGGAAACAGTCCACACATCCTCCTCGCACACGCTGTGCTGGGCATTATTTTACTTCCTATGCAAACAGCAGCACTGGGCACCCATCCTCCTGAACCTGCGGGTTTTCCGTGGATCCTGGCATGAGTGAACGTGTGAGCAGAGGGTCCATTCCTAGAAGGAGAGCTGTGGTTCTAGGGACAAATGCCACTCTGTCCTGGGTTGTATCTCTATCTCCTGTTGCTCGAATTTCTGCCTCACAAACGAAACTGAATGGAGCCACTGGAGTCAGGACCCCCACGGCTTCCATTACACACGGGCACCACAGTCCCTTTCCTTGCAGGAGAGGGAACGGCGAGCTCCTACACCAACGTCAGTTTCCCCACTGAAAAGGCCCAGATATTTAAACGTAAAGACGCTGGGCATTCCGCCCACTCCATGTGGTCTGCTCTGGGGCGTGTGTGTAGGTTGAGCTCTTGGCTGGGCCCGGGGAGGTGAGGATGGGCTTGGCCTGGACACAGGAGGCGGAGTCTGGTTGCTGTGTGACCCAGGGGTCCCTCCGGCTCCCGGTGCTGTTCCCAGCTCTGGCTGCCTCCCTCCCCCTGCTGTCTTGCGGGTCAGTCCCCACCTCCCATCACCCCCTCCAGCCCTCCTGGGATTCGCACCAGCCAGGTCCCCCGTGCCCTGCTCCTCGGGCCTGGTGGGACCCCTGGTCCTCTTCAGGAGGCAGAGGCAGGAAGGGTGGGTGCGGCTGGGGCCTCAGGGCCCTGACTGGGTCGGGGTGCAGCCTGACCTGAGGCATCTCAGAGCGCTGGACCGGGGCTCGGAGCGCAGCCCAGCGGCACTCTGGGGTCTCCGCCTCTGTGTCCGTCCCCCACCGTCCCCGGGTCCCCTGTGCTCTGCATCTGTTTCCCCATTCGTCCCTCCCGTCCTTCGGCCTCTCTTCCTCCCCGCCCCCTCTGTCGCCCTGTCTGTCCCCGCTTTCCGGGCTGGGGCCCCTGCGGCTGCACCCCG